TCCCCCCCCCCCCACCCCCACACACACACCCCTTTTTTTTAAATTGTTTTTCGTGGCTCCGCTTCTGCAGCGTCATGTGCGTTTGGCGGCTCCACCACCCGCCGTGCCACTGCACACGCACCATGACCATGTCTTTTGGTCTTGACCTCTTCAACTGGGGGCGTGGCAAGCTGCGGAGCACGCTGCACATACAACACAAACACGAGACATGATAATTTTGGGAAAGAAAACATTAGGGGAGAGAAATGCCGTGCGAGAGGGTGGGCGTGTGAAGGATTAGCTGCGCGCCCAGGCGAGGTGAATGGGGTGGGGTGGGGGGGTGGGGGGTGTGTGGGGTGGGGGGGCTGGATTCTTTTCGCTGTTGGTCTGTGGGTGTAATGAGCGTGGATGAGGCTTTAAACGTGTGTGTGCGCGCACCTGTATGGTCCACTTCGCTCAGTTGTTTTCTTCACATCACGTCAATTGTGTTGCTGCTGCTGCGGTGCGAAGGGGGCGAGGGAGGCAGAGCAAAGAATAGGCCAGGTGAGGCCGACAAGGACAACGAGGGAGGAACGAGGGGGAAATGAGAAATGAAGTGGGAAAAAGGATTTTTTGTTGAAATTAGGGAGAGAGATGGTTCGTTTTGTTTGATCGGTTCAAAGGACACCCCTAGAGATGTAAGGTCGAGGGGGTGGCGAGAGGGGTGGGAGTGGAGGAAGAAGGAATAAAACTGCGTTTGTTTTGCACGACCCGGGAAGGGGGTGGGGGAGAAGCGGCGTGGGGGGGAAAAAAAGGGGAAAAACATGCGTATGGGGTGTGTGTACACCTTTTGCGCCCTCTCTTTGTCTTTGTCTCCCATGGGGGTTGTGCATCTCCTCGTGCATGTGTGTGTGAAGGAGCAGAGTGGGGCGATGAGGTCGAGGGAAACAGTAGAGAGGATGAAAATCGGAAGATACAAGCAGAGAAGCCGCAGAGGGAGACAATAAAAAAAAAAAAAAGGATGGAGTGAGGAATAACTGATGCCAAGTTTTTTTTTTTTTTGGCGTCGCGGTGAGATTTTTGTTTTGTTTTGCTCTTGTTATCTCTGGTCTCTCACCACGCTGGTTCGCTTCGTTGGATACGGGTGGTGGGTGCTGTTAATAGGGGTACATGCACAGTTTACATACTTGTAACACACATACTTGGACGTCTTTACTCACACATAGTTTTTAATAGGCTTTTGCCCCATGTTGTTGGGAACGCAGGTTGCATTGTGTTTGCGGTGTCTTGCTGTGTGTGTGTGTGGGTGGTGCGTCGGGAGTTGGGTGATGCGTGTGTCTCATTCGGTGGCTGCTGTGTGTTTGCATGTGAAGGTGAGGTGGGCAAGGAGGACCAGGCTTCGGTGTCACTGAGTATCCTGTCCTCTTTCTACTTTTCCCTTTCTTTTGTTTCGTTCATTTCTTCCTTGTTCTTTTTTTTCTTTTTTTTTTGTGTGCTTCTCACTGGGCCTGTCTCATTCCTTTTTTCTAATGTTCCTCTTCCTGTTCTTTCGCCTTTTGTTGTTGTTTTTTGGGCTTCTCCGTATTGGGGCCTCTGCGCTTTCCCCTCGCTGTCCCTCCCTCTCTCTCTTTTTTGGTCAGATGGAGAGGGGGGAGTGGGGTGGGGGCATGTGCGTTCTTGCGACTCTTCTCGTCTCTTTGCTCTTCACCTTCTTTGCAAGCCCCTTCATCTGTGTGTGTATGACGCAGGCACATGGACCCGCATCCCTCGGCGTTGCGTCACCGCCACTGACGCTGACGGATCCATGTCGAGAGCAACGGAGTGGCGCCGTCGAGCAGTCACCGCATGGATCTTTTGCAAGGCGCCGGCTGGGGTGAGAGGAGTGGGATATGCTTCGGCCGTGCGGCAGTATAGGAGCGAGGGCGGGAGAGCGGCACCACGTCCTCGAGTGGAGGCTGCCAAGGGTGGGTGGGTGGGGGGGTGGCACCACGTATGGGCGGGCAGGCAGCAAAACACATGACGAGGAATTACAAGAGCGGTGGGGACAATAAAACGGAGGAACGCTTGTTTGGATGGCCTCTAACCACCTTTACAGGGGACAGCAGTGGCGTTCTTCCCCACCTTCCCCCTTTTTGTCTCTTCGTCTGCTGGTGATGAGGAGGTGCGTCCTCGTCCTGGGAGGAAGAAGGTGGTGGTAGCGGTGCCTCGCTTGCTTATGCTCCGCTCATTCTCTCTCCACACACCCCCTTAAAAAAAAAGACTGAAAACACCACGAAGGAAAAAAAAGGAGATGGTGAACGCAGCGTGATTGGCTGTGCTGTTTGCACCGACCCTGGACAAATGTGTGCGGGAACGTGTTTCTCACGTTTCTCCATCTCCCCTCTTGTTATTGCCATTTGCAACTTTACCACCCCCAGGCACGGATGACCCCATTATGCGTTTGCTTTTGTGAATTCCATTTATTATTATCATTGGTTGTTACTTTGCCTTATTATTTCCCTTTTGGTTGTCATTGGCTTCTGAAGCGCTTAGCGTGGCCTGAGCCCTTATGCCATACAGGCTACTCGTCACAAACGTCCCTCTGCGGGTGGGGGAGGAGGAATTCTACGACTATGTGCGTGCCCACGTCGGCGGCGAGGCGGTGGTGAATGCGCTTCTTATCATGCGACCAGACAACACGGAGGCATCACCGCACATGTCATCTTCTGGGGCTGCGCTGGTGGATTACTCCATGAAGAGTGCGGCCGATGCGGCAAGACGCGTGGACTTCTTCGTGGACGGTGCATCTGTCATGATGAAGGCGGTTGGCTCCGTTCCGGCACCGGGGCGGCACGCCGAAATGTTGGCTGAAGAAGGACGCGAGGCCTACCAGCGGCTTCGGTGTGGTGTGTCTCATGCAGATCGTCGTGCCATACGCGGTGATACAGCAGCGAGGCAGAAACGCCGGCGCGGGGACGACAATGCCGTTGCCCCTCAGGCTGTTGACAGAAGTACGGAGGACACGAGCATCAAGGGCAACCGGGACGATGAGGAGGTTGAGCTCCTCCTCGTTGGGGTGCCGCATGATGTGTACGGGTCCATCTTTGGCGAGGGCCTTGCGGGCGCGGGGGCTCAGTTGACATGTCAACCCACATTCGATCTTTTTGCCGACGTCGCCCTCAGTGTTCGCCGCGCGACGCTTGGAGAGCTTCTTTCGCTGCGCCGCATCACGGACGACGAGGCGCTTATTCGAGTCTCCGCGGACACGGCAGAGGCACTGCTGGAGAGGGCGGCGAATGGCCTTCAGCTCCTCATCCAGCCCACCACCACTACGGATGAAGCCAAAGAACCTGCTAAAGCTCCCTGTGACAAATACCTCCTCTCCGTACGCCAGCCTCGGCCCTGCGTGCACATCACCGGTGATAGCTTTGAGTTAGCTACGAAGCATGAGGTGGTGGGTGCCATGGCGCGCATCATGGAAGTCACCAACGCGAAGGTCGCTGGATTTATGGACCCCTTCGGCAATTTCCTGCTTCCCTCTGTTAAATGAAACAATACACCCTCTAATTTCCAGACGGGTTCCCTTTGTATCACTTAACATAGGCTGTCTGGGACAAATCCAATTGGGCTGTTTCTTTTTTTACTTTCTCATGGGTGGTGCCACCGTCATTCATTCCTGTGCTCTCCGCCGCTTTTCTCTTGTAGTTTGATTGCACCTAAGATATATCTTTAAGTGAAACATGGCCACCACCCTTGAGGAGTTTTCCGCCAAGCTCGACCGGCTGGACGCCGAGTTTGCAAAGAAGATGGAGGAACAGAACAAGAAGTTCTTTGCGGACAAGCCGGACGAAAGCACTTTATCCCCTGAGATGAAGGAGCACTATGAGAAGTTCGAGAGGATGATTCAGGAGCACACTGACAAGTTCAACAAGAAGATGCACGAGCACTCTGAGCACTTTAAGGCGAAGTTTGCTGAGCTGCTCGAGCAACAGAAGAACGCTCAGTTCCCAGGCAAGTAAGCAGAGAGAGGGAAAAAATGGGTGTGACTATGGCT